TGGGTGCATAGGTTGGGAAGCTGTAGCCTCTTTCCTTGGCCTACCCCTTGCTCTCTTTGCTGGAGGCTCATCTGGGGCTTGTGGGAGAGTAGTTCCTCTGTTGGGGCACCTTCTCTTATTATGGCCCATTTGTTGACACATAAAGCATGTCATTTCCATGCCATGTTTGGTCAAATTTCCTAGCTTTTTAGGGTCCTCAAATGGATCATTTCTTCTATTCTTCCTTGGCCTTCCTGGTCCCACTTTGATGAGGGGTGGATCTATACTCAACTCTGATTGAGGCCAATGCCTTTCACCTTTAATTGGAGGGATTGAATTCCCATATGCTTTCAAGTACATCTCCTTCTTATAACACTCATCAACATAATCTTCTGCCTTCTTATGACAGAAAAAAATTGCAGCCACTGCATGGCAACATGGGATCCCACACATGTCCCATTTTCTGCATGTGTAAGTTCTTTTTTCTAGGTCCACAGACATAGTGTCCAAGATATGGCTCACTTGAAACACAGTCTGTGAAGAAGGAATGACCTCACAATTAGCAGCTTCCTCTTTCTCTGATTCTAGCTTCTTCTGAATCCTTGGACATAAAACACTTTTTCATTTTTCCATTTCCTGCCTCTTAATCACCAACCTCTTCATTAAAGCTGCCCTTATATCCTCCAACATATAAAGCAAATGTTTTGCCCTAGCATTAATGATATACCCATTAAATGTCTCAGCCATGTTAGATGTGATGGCATCTGCCTTCACATCAGTTTTCAGAAATGCCCTGCAGAAGACATCTGGGTTGTAACTTTTGAAGCCTGCAGCAGCTGCAGCATTAGTTGTCTCCAACTTCTTAAGTGAATCTCTATAGTCAGCTTCACTACATGACTTTGCACAGCTCCAAAACATCAATTTCATTTCATCACCTCTGAAATTCTTGTGCCAATTTGAAAAAATATGTCTTGCACAATGTCTGTGCTCAGCTTGAGGGAGTGTCACACTAACCCCTCTTAGAATGGCCTAGTAAAGCAATATGTATTAATGAATTCAGCAAAAAAAAACCAACATAACCAAATATATGTATTAATGAATTCAGGAAAAAAAAAAAAAACCAAAAAACCAAAAACAGTTGAAGTTTATACCTGATGCTCATCTGACACAATCACAGTTCCAGAACCATCACCAAGCTGAAGGATTTTGCTAAGGTTATTCATAAACCACTCCCAAGAAGTATTATTTTCACCCTCCACCACTGCTCAAGCAATTGGATACATCTGATCATTCCCATCTCTGCCTACAGCAGACATCAACTGTACCCCTAGGAATGTCTTCAAAAAGCAAGCATCAACACATATAACTTTTCTGCAACCCTCCATCCAACCTTTTTGCAATCCCTCAAAACAGACATACAACCTCTGAAAAATCAGTGGTGGCTTATTCTTGTCTATGTATGTGACTAAGTCCAACTGTGTGTTTGGACTGGACCTTTTCAAGGCTTCAAGATACCTGCCAACCTTCATGGAGCCATGAAGCTTTTTGTGAGCATGCCACTTCACCTTGTAAGCAAACTCTTTCCTAATGATAACCCTGTAAGCTCTCCTGACTGTTTCAATGATCTCTTTAGCTGGCCAATGAGGCCTAGCCTTAAACACATCAAGTAGTTGTTTTGCCAACCATGACCCTTTCAGCTGCTTGTTTTTCTCCATAGTTCTGATGCAACTATGGTTTGACACTACTGTTTTAACTACAAAGGAACCTCTCCTGGAGTCCCAAGAGGCATACAACCTAAAAGGACACCCTTCACTACACCTCACACCAATTCTTTGTTGCCTACTTTTATTTGCTGACACAATAGTTATATTTCTACCTTGAAAAATTGTAAACTTAGCAACAGCTTGCTTGAAGTCCTCCCTAGTTGCAAATCTATGCCCAACTTTCCACTGAAACTGAGTAAAGTCAGTCTCAGGCCCTACAAGCAGACCTCTCCTACTCTTTCTTTCCCCAATTGTCTCCTCTTCATCACTTCCCCTAGGTGTGTGAATTTCTTCATCAGATTCTTCATATTCAGAGTTGTAACCAGCCTGTTTTCCACCCTCCCTAACTTGTTTACTACTCTCCCCAACCTGTATACTACTCTCACCCCCTTTGTTCCCCTCCTGCTTTGCAGCTAAATTACCCTTAGCAGCTTGAACTTGTAGTGATTGTGCCAATTCTACTACACTACAATTGAAACCTTTCACTCTTTCCCTTGCCTCCCTTTGCTCATCATCACTAATGTCAGCATCAAAATCCTCTGGCTCCTTCAACTCTTCAATGTCACTAACATCATCCTCTTCCCCATCTAAGTCAAAGTTAGCCTGATAAATCTCGTAATCACCTAGCCAATCCTCTTCCTCATACTCATTTATGAGATTAACTTCATCCTCTTTTTGAAACAAATACTCATTTGCATCAGACTCATCCTCCAAATCATCTTCTAACACATAATCTCTATCATCATCATCATCTTCATCACTTCCTAAACCATACCGTAACTCATCTATGGCAATGGGCTATTAGGTCTGTCTTCCTCCCAATCATAGTCCCCTGGCACTTCACATCTAATGAATTCAGAATGAGGCTCTAAAGTGTTTTCTGTTTGAATTGGGGTTGTTGTTGTTTGACTAGGGTTTTCTGGTAATGAAATGGAAGTACTAGATCTAGGAAATGGTTGAAGTTGTTTGTTTGTTATTAGAGTGGGGACCACTTCTACTGCTTTGCCTTTAGACTTTTCCAACACATGCAGCTTCTCTGAAACTGCACTAGATGCCTGACTCAAAATGCCAGCTCTCTTAGGTATCAATTTTTTGGGCCTATTGGGCTCATGTTCTGTGGCAACAATGGCTGAAGTGGGATGGGTTGTGGTATTGGATCCAGTCTGGGATTGTTTAACAAATTCAGGCTGAACATCATCATCAACTACATACAAGTCTAGTGTTCTGTTCTCCACCATTAACCTACCCAATTCTCTGAATTCATCATCAGTAAATGCAGACTTTAACCCACCCCTTAAGTCAAGTGCAGGATTTAAGTAATAAAGTTTGAAAATTTCAGAATAATTACCACATTTAGCGACTAATTCCTTCATATAAAACCAACACAACTCATCAACATCAACATCAAAAGTTCTGAACTTCCCTCCCAAATAAACCCAATAACCATTACTTTTAAACTTCCCACCATGATATATTTTCAAACATGCAAGACCCATTACAATACGCAAACAGTCTCAATAACTACTTAAATTACTCTTCACTATGTTAATCGAAGTTATCTTCGTTTAATTGCTTTAATTCGCAAATTTAAGAAAGCTAGGGTTTGTCGATTTACCTCTAATTAGCCCACCTTGAATTGCTGTGCTAAGGACCTTAATTTCCTTTAAACAATGAACAATTGCAGTCCTTTCGACGGAGATAAGTTTCTGAAAGATAATTTTTTTTTGGACGGACAATTGTTCCTTTGTTTCATAAAAATGGCGAAACTTAAGTTTTTTTTGGGGGAAAACCGTTGGAGAAGAAAGACTTTAGGTAGGGAAATAGAATAGATTCACCGGTTTAAGGGGTAACCTGTAAAAAGGATCGTTAATGGAAGATAGGGGGAATAGGTGGGATTATTTCTGGATTTTAGAAAGGTGGGATTGTTTGTGAAAGACCACCTAAAGGTGGGATTATTAGTTTACAATTTTCCTTTATTTTTTTTTTAATTTTTTTTTAGGGAAATTAAATATCAATCAATCAATATCAATAATAACACGAACTTTTACATACAACTTACCACGTGACCTATTCCATTTTTTTTTCTTTTTTTTTCTTTTCTATTTGATCGAAGCGTTACTTTTTTAATATTTTTTTGGGATTTTCCATTTGGTACCATTTTAGTTTAGGTTTTTCCATTTGGTATCCAATTTTTATTTTTATTCCAAATGGTACCACTATACTTTCAATTTCTTCTATGCTAGAACATTTCGTCAAATATATTATGTAATCTTCGATTTGGGTGTCAAATTAATTGATCGGATAAGGTTTTAATAGGATGTTTTAGCCCTTAGCAGCCTTGAGGTTCAAGTTAAAGGTCAATAGAAAAAAAAAGCATTAAAATGTCATGATTTATGTGCAAAAAAAAATCTCATTTAGTATATTTCGATTTGTTTAGCATAAAAAAAAGTCTGGTTAAAGTGTTGGGGTCATTACTCATTATGATCTTAAAGGATCAAAATTTGCAGCTCGAATTAGAAAAATAAGGACCACAATCGCACAAAATTAATGTTTTATTTTACGGGATGCTTTGTAAAGAATAAGTCAAAATCACAATGGTACCATATGTATAAAAATAAAATTTGGGTAGCATATGGAAAAAGCAGATTTACAATGGTACCAAATGGAAAATCCTTTTTTTTTTTTTACTTTTTATCTTTTATTTCTATTCCACAGGCTAAAACCTTTTTTATATAGTAAACTAGTTCTTTATTCAAGCAACACTCGGATTGTAACACCCCCAATTTACTAGCTAAAATATAAACAATAAGGGCTTGTTCTCTTACGTTGAAATTCAGTTCAGTTCAGTTCAGTTCAGTTCAGCTCAGCTCAGCTCAGTTAGTTCAATTCAGTTCAGTTCAGTTCAGCTCCTAATTTCCTTCTTTTATAAAATATTCATTCAGTTCAGTTCAGCTCAGTTTAGCTTAGTTCAGTTAAGTTCAGTTCAGTTCAGTTTAGTTCAGTTCAGCTCAATTCAGTTCAGTTCAGTTCAGCTGAATTCAGTTAATGAGAACAGACCCTAAATAAAGGAAAAATAAACAACTTTTAAATAAAATTGCAGAAGCATACACCTAAATCGGAGGTATCACCGCTATACTCAAACAACCTGTTAAGTGTTAAGGCTTACAAATCCCAATAATTACAACCCAATAAACTAGGTGAGCTATTTATACAACTTTACAAACTCGTGACAGCATACTAATCGTGTAACACCCCCGATTTACTAACTGATAATAAACAATAAATAAAGGGAAAATAGACAACCTTTAAATAAAATTGCGGCAGCATACACCTAAATCGGAGGTATCACCGCCACACTCAACAACATGTCGAGTGTTAAGGCTTACAAATCCCAATAAATACAACCCAATAAATCTAGGTGAGCTATTTATACAACTTTACAAACTGGTTACAACATACTAATCGAAACACTTGAGCTCATTTAGCTACAATCACTCGATCAACCTGCTTAAATAATCTTGACTGCTCACCATTAAGGACAAATTCCAAAATAGATCGTCGCAGGGCCACCATAAGAAAAAGACATGGCCGCAAACACAAGTAGTACAACAAACAAACAAACACACGTTAGCAAAAAGGTGAGTAATCACCACATATCAAAATACAGAGTATAATAAAATAATAGACAATACTAGCTCAATTAAACAATGTAGTTCGAAACTACATTACACATTGTACTCTGAAAAAAATAACCTTTATCAACTCAACCTCAAATAATAATACGAACTTTTACTCAATTAACTCATATTACCCATAAGTGTGCCATGCTCTTTGTTTTATACCTAGCCTTGGACATGGGTAATTCGAATAAAACCAACAAGTATAAAAACTTGAATACTCCCAATAACCAGAAAACACCTTGAACCAGACCACATACGGGCCAATTCCCACTGTAGGGGACCATATACTACAAGAAAATCCATTTTTGGCAACAAAAAATGTCGTTGCTAAAAAACCTTTGTCGTCGCAAAAAATCACTTTAGCAACGACTTTTGTCGTTGCATGGTCGTTGCGCGTGTAGGCGTTGCAAAAAATATGACAACAACTTTTGTCGTTGCTAAAACTCTGTTTTACACAACGACTTTTTTTGTTGCTAAAATAATGTCGTTGCCATACATTGTATTTCATGATATAAGTATACTCATTTATTAAAACATCATACATATCCAAACTCCCAAAGGTCCTTCAGTTCTTTAATTAAAGGTTGAAGATAAACATCAATATTTCTTCCGGGACTCGTGGGTCTCGGAATGAGTAGAGATAAGATGAAATAATGAGGCTTCATACATATCCAAGGAGGTAAGTTGTAAGGAATAAGAACAACAGGCCAAATACTATGTTGAGAATTATCAAAAGGTTGGAAACCATCACAAGCTAATCCAAGTCTAACATTGCGTGCATCTCTGGAGAATGAAGTATACTCCTCATCAAATGATTTCCTGCAGCAGAATCAGTTGGATGCCTCATTACCTCATCATCCACCCTTTCTTCTTTATGCCATCACATATCTTTTGCGGTCTTTCTTGACATATATAACCTTTGTAATCTGGATTTCAATGGAAAGTGTCGTAGCACCTCGTGTGGCACTTTTTTCGTTCCATTACAAGCACCTTCAGGAACATTCTTGTATCTAGGTAAGCTACAGGTAGGACACTTATCTAGATGTTCATTTTGTTTCCAATAAAGAATACAATCATTTTTACAAGCATCAATCTTCACACACTCAAGACCCAAATTGGAAATCAATTTCTTTACCTCATAATATGAATCAGGATGATTAGTTCCCCATGCTTCCCCTTGCAATTTCAGTAAACTATCAAAAGGGCTATCACTCCAGTTATTTAAAACCTTCAAATGCAGCGGCCTTACTATATAAGACAGCTTTGACATTGTTGTGCCATTAGAGGTCAATGGCTCTTCATATTCTTTCAAAAGATGGTAAAACATTGTTGCATCTCAAGTTGGTTCTTCATTAAAATCATAGTCATTTAGATGATCCCCCTGCGTACCAGGTACCCCAAATGCATCTTCTAACATATGAACTCCACTATCATCACTTTCCATTCCATTTCCATCTCCATCTTCCATACCACTATTGTTACCACTCGGAGAATTACTTACCTTTTCACCATGAAGGTCCCATATAGTGTAATACTCATACATTCCTGACTTTGTAAATCAAACCTCACATCACACCTTTTTTTATACACTAAATTACGACAATTATCACAAGGACACCTAATAGTGGCAGTATTATCATCCTCTATGACATTAGAAAAGGCAAAGTTCAAGAAATTATCAACACCCTTTATGTACTCGACAAGTGAACGATCATTTATTTTCATCCATTCCTTATCAAAAGTCATTCCCTAAATTCACATTAATATAAATAAGATAAAAAAATTCTAAAATGTTCAATGAAATAGCATACATATAATTTATGTACAATCATACAAATATAACATAAGTATCCATTTAAATGACAAACAATCCTAATTATACTAACATGCCTTAATTTAAAATATATAAAACAATCACAACTTTGACTTGAACCATATGAATATTAAAATTAAAAATAAAAAATTTATAAAAAAAAACTTTGAAATAGGATAAGAGTATTACCAACCAGATAGCTTGCTATAGCTCAAAAAGTTTTCTCCTTTGGTTACTTCGATTTTCTAGCAGCTAGCTACTAATTATGTGTCTCTGTAAAGGAAAAGAATGTAATGTAAAATCAAACAAGAAAACTTGTTAAAGTGGCCTACTTTAACTAAAATAGTTTTCATCTTGGTTAAGTTGAATTGCTATCAAATCTAGTGAATGAAACCTTTTTAGATACATGGACGAATTTGCTATTTTCTAACAGTGTAAAATACTACTTTTCTATAGTTAATCCCAAAAATATTGAATATGTGAGTTTATTTTACAGATATACATACACATTTAAAATTTAATAATTAAAAGAAACCTCAATTACAACAATAACAAGACATACATGGGCTTAGTTCTACACCTCAACCTCTAAGCAAATACTGCACAGAAATTATTTGCAAAAAAATAAATAAATAATAAAGCCATTAAATTAAAACTAATAGAAATTATCATTCAATGTAGTAAACAAGTAATCTATTAACTTTACAAACAATAATTAAATAGAAAGTTGCTTTTGACATTGCTTTCAAATATGACAGTCACATAATCAACCCACCTCTTCTAAACTGTAGTAGTACTAGATCGAACCTAGTCCTTAATTAAAAAATTGTTCAATTGACTAATACATGCAAGATATCTAATAAATTATTTCAAAACTATAAGAAGAGTATCTAAAGATGTTAACTATAATAGTAACATGTAATTTATTACTCCAAATTATATCCCAAAAAATATGATAGAAATCACATTCAACTCCACAATAGTTTACCCCTAAACTCAGTTACTCAGATTTACAAGCAAATAGCTTAATTTTTTCCACAAAAAATTTAAAAAAAAAGAGCAAATTTCTTAATTTACCGTAATTGTCAAATAATAGGTCACAATTTAACATTATATGAAAAAAAATTCATTTTTTTATACAGAGTAGAGTATGAGATTGTAGGACTACAAAATAAAAAATAAAAAGAAAGAACTAACCTCTTGTTACTTGCTATTAGAGTAGTACCAAGAAGAAATCATCACAGCTAGCTAATGTCAAAATTCATACCCACAAGAATTACCTTTTTTTTAGACAAACACTAACTCCCAAAATTATATCGCACCAAATGATTCAAGCAATTTGGGCTAAGAAGTAATTTATTTAGAATTTATAATTTTTTTTGAGGTGAAATAATAGATAATTTTAGTAAGCTTAATTTGTAGTTGTTTTGGATAATTTTGTAGTTGCTTTGAATTTTGGAGTGGCGAAAATTTGGGGTGGCGAGATGAAATAAGGGTTAGGCGGGGAAGAAGAAGGATAAAAGGTTCTGGGTTTGGGAAAGTAAAATATACAGTACAACTTTATTTTGTTTTATCAATTTTTTATTATTATTTTTGTACTTTTTAGGTTTGTAGTCATAAATACAGCAACAACATTGTCGTTACAATTAAAAGCGGTATATTTAGCAACGATTAAAGTTGTTACCATTAATTATTAGAAAGATTTGCAACAAATATGGTCGTTGTAAAAAATTAAGATATATTTTGCAACGACACTTATCGTTGTGGAAAGCAGTCTCAAATTTTCACATGGCCCGCGCTTGAAATTTTGATGGAGGGAAATGAAAATGAATATATTGCAACGATATTGACGTTGTTAAAATTAATATTAGCAACAATAATTAAGTCGTTGCTAAAGAGTTGTAGCCAAAAATGGGTTTTCTTGTAGTGATAGAAAAATAAATAATAAAGATTGTACCTCATTCTTAACTCATGATCATTATCTCATTACCAACATGCCAAGGACTAAGGTCTATAACGCCGAGCCTCAAATCAATAACAAAATAATAATTCTCACCCTTTTGATCTCATACATCGATCAAATAATCATTTACAACTAATAAATAATATCTCAACAATGGCACAGATTTCCAAATAACATAACAATTCAAACTCGATTCAATCGTAGTATATCTCAACTCTTATAGGGCAATCATACTAGTTACCAAATGTAATCAATTCTCAACCCAAAAATAATACTCTGCATTAGGAACCCTAAAACCTCGATATAATACTCCCTATAGAAACAACATTAAAAACCCTATAAATTATAACACAATAAATATAATCAATAATATAACAAAATAATACGACAATTAAATTATATATCACGACATATTAACCAATATATACACAAAACTTGATTATCATACGAATAACAGCAAATCATAGTATTTGCACATAATAATACAAAAGTATATCACAAACAACTCCAATAAAAGTTTCGTGTGATTACCTTTGACATAGCACAATGAAACAACAATATTCAAGGCAAAGTTAGATCAACTGACGTTGCAATTTGCAACAGCTTCTATATTGATCTCACAATATAAGTCATCATCATTTAAATCCATAGTCAAGATAATGGATATTAGAGAATGAAATAATAGTTTATAAGAAGAAACAAATTTGGGATTGATTAGCACATCTCACGGCAATTGGAAAACGGCTGCGGCTTTCCCCCTTTTTTTTTCTTCTAAAATACAATTATTTTATTAGGGTTGAAATAATTTATAGTTCGTAAACAAAAGTTCTAATAGACATAAAATAGGTTTTAAAAATTACTTTATTTATTTTTTTCTACAAAATATATTATATAAAATCGTAAAATATCCGGGTGTTACATATCGAAACTCTTAAGCTCCTTTAGCTACGATAACTTGATCAACTTTCTTAAACAATCTTGACAGCTCGCCATTAAGGACAAATTTCTAAACAGATCGTCGCAGGGCCACCATAAGAAAAAACATGGTCGCAAACACAAATAACAGAACAAACAAACACACACACGTCAGCAAAAAAGCTGAGTAATCACCACTTATCATAACGCAAAGAATAATAGTATAATTAATATGATTAACTCAATTGAACAGGGTAGTTCGAAACTACATTACACATTGTACTTTGAAAATAACTTTTGTCAAACTCAACCTCAAACAATAATACGATCCTTTACTCAATTAACTCACATATCCCATAAGTGTGTCGTGCTCTTTGTTCTATACCTAGCCTTGGACATGAGTAATTCGAATAACAAACCAACAAGTACAAAAACTTGAATATTCTTAATAACCAGAAAACACCTTGAACCAGACCACATACTACAGGCCAATTCCCACTATAGGGGACAATAGAAAATAAATAATAAATATTGTACCTCATTCTTAACTCATGATTATCATCCTCTTAACATGTCAAGGACTAAGGTATATAAGTATATAACACTGAGCCTCAAACTAAGAACAAGATAATTATTCTCAACCTTTTGATCTCATACATTGATCAAATAATCATTTACAAACTAATAGATAATATCTCAATAATGACACATGTTCCCAAATAACATATCAATTCGATTCATAAATATCTCAACTCTTAGGGCAATAATACTAGCACCCAAAATCAATTAATTCTCAACCCAAAATAATATCTGTATTAATAACCCTAAACCTCGATAAAACAATACTCCATACACCAACAACATTAAAACCCTATAAATAATTAATTAATTTTTAACAATAAAAGTATTACGATACTCATATCCAATCAAATCATATAATAACAATAATCAATCATATACTTACACAAACTTGATCACACGAATTACGATTTTAAAATTTACACATAATAATAATACAGAGTACAATCAATAAACAAATTATAACCAAATTATTTTAATAAATCAATACAATCACATTATAATCAAGCAACTCCAAAATATCGATAGTGTGATTACCATACAGACAAATTAGCTTTGGATTACGCCAAGAAATAGGTTGGGCGACATTGGTGTTCGTAGGCTTTGATATTAAAAAGAAAATATCATGAGGCTTGTCAATTGATCTTGTTAGGGTATGAGCACGCAGCGGAAATGTAAAATAGAACGAGAAATTAAAGGTAAAATGTAAAATAAATAATAAAAGGAGACACGATATTTAACTTGGGAAAAACCCTCTAAATAGTGGTAAAAAAACCCACGACGACGAGCACCAAAAAATTCCACTATAATAAAATGAGAGTACAAAGTTACCCCAATAATAGGGTATTGAGATACAACTCTTACAATTAAACTCTCGAAATAAAGAAAATAGTGGAATAAATTACAAGGAGGAGATTAACTAGGGAGACTAGTGTAATTGGATGACTAATTTTGTGAGTGGGTAAATTTGTATAATGGAGGTTGAATGTATATTGGTTGGATGCATCAATATGAGCCAAACTCCAACTGCTTATAGTTGGTTAGGTCGGTGGAAATGGATGCCCCAAGATGTATGAAGAATTCTCTAGATTTGCTTGCATGATAATATTGCTTCTAGAAATTAAAGTTGACCATTTTCTAGAATAATCAACATAATTGTAGAATATTTGACATACTCTAGAAGCAAGACGAATTGTATTAGGCTTCTTCAAAACTTGGTCCATATGAAATTTTGGGCCACATCTAACAGATCTCATCATGAAGTAATCATCATATAAAACAATAGATATGGATGATGGAAATTGTTGAACGAAAAACAAAAATTAAAGAAGAACATATTCTGATTTAAAAGGCACAAAATTGGAAAACGGTCGGCTGCTATATTGCTATCTTTCTCTCTTTTTTTTTTAATTTTTTTTTATAAAATATCTTTTAAGGTTTTAGAATATTAAAAGTGTGTTGATCCAGGCGTTGCCCTAGAATGTTGATAGTTTTTTTTTTTTTTTTTTTTTTTTTTAAAAAAAAAAAAAATTATTATTAAGTGTTATAATTTTTTAGTATTAATAATTTAGAACATAATGTTAAGATATTGAAAAGAATTGAAAGATTAATATGAGTTTCATTTGTTTTTAGTTTAGGTGTGGTTTTTTTATTCTACATTTATATACATGTATGTGGATTCAATAAAGCATAAATTATTGCTTGTTAAGATGACAATGCGTGTGGTATACGTTCTATGAGGTCAGGGGTTCAAACCTCTTCTATGCAATTTTTTAATTAACATTGTCTTGAAATATTAAATCGTGACGTGGCACAATGCCATTTATAATTGATTAGTGACATGACACGATGCCATTGATTATGGAGTGGTGATGTGACACTTGGCGCATAAATGTTTTTATGAACGTTTTTTAATATAGAAGTATAGATATAGATAGGGTTTAAAATCAATCAATCTATCTATCTATCTATATATTATACTAAAAGACAAGCGCCTCAATGTGAGGATGACAAATGTCACTCTCTCATTGGCGTATCTTAAGTATAAAATATATTTATATAATTACTGTTTACGTATTCAAGCATAGTTATTTTTTTTAAACTTCAAACAATAAAAGCAAGTTTCTATACATGTATAAGATTTTCATGATTTCCTAACATAAATATTGATTTAATATTTTTATAATAAATATATACTTTCCAATACTACAAATAATCCATAAAGTCTTTCCAATCTTTATTTATAGTCAAATTAAAGAATAATAACTAATTTGAAGCAATATGATTAAAGTGGCATAATTAAGGAAACAAATATTTCGTATTTTGAAAGGCTAATATTGTTTTTTTAATGAAAATTAAATAAAATCGATATAATTTAGTTTGACGTCAATTATGAAATCAATACAAACATTTTAAAAAAATCAGATGTACAATAAAATATTGTGCACCTATTATAAAAGCTACCCTGTAATGAATGAAAGTTATTTATGCTTTATTGATAAAAATTACCCAAAATAGTCTACAAGTTATCCTAAATTCAATTCAAGTAATCGGTTGAATACAAAAGTTTTTGATAAAGATACAAAATAGTGTAAAAATGACTTTATCGTTTGTTGTACTCCTTGACAAATACTGAATGCTGAGCCGAAATGTTGTCTTGGAAAAAAATACATAATCTTGAACAAAAATTTAATTTTAATCGGCCTTTCATTTTCTATACAATGTCTTTTACAATGACCTTTTGTTCTTCTTGCATTTAAAAAAAAAAAACTGAACCAATAGTTAACCTAAACAAGAAGAATAAAAGTTAAATTGAATTAGACATTTGACGGAAAAAGAATAGATATAAAATGTATTATAACTATTCCTCGTGTTTTAAATTGTAATATTCGTATTAACAATGCTATTACTTATGAATTTTTTTTAGAAAAACTAACATTTTGATTTTAAAATCGTGCATTGCTCATGTACTATACTAGATATACAACAATCATGTGCAATAATTTATGTTGTTTTTATACATAATAATACTTTTAACTATAATAGTATGTTTATATAATATAATATTTTTTATAATATAGAAAAGTATATGTATATAATATAATATTTTAAAACACGTGTCCTCCATACCAATTGTTTGGTTGTTGGTGTAGTGGTGATTGAGACTACACTTGGTAGGGAGGACCTGTGTTCGCTCCCCTGCAACAACAATCGGAAGGGGAGTGGAGCCTAATAGCCTTGAACAAATCCTCAAATCTGGATTAGCCC